TTGTGAAATGAACAGCCCAGCCTGACATCTCTCTATACCAGATGAAGTGGTTAGCAGCTTTGAATTTTGTAAAGCGCTGGAGTACATATAATCATTTAATGTAGATATTAGCACTATCAAATGATAATATGTAATTACACATTTTAATTAACTGGGCTTGGCCTGCCACCAGTTTCCAAGCAGTCCCTTCCCAGGAAATGAGGGAGAGTCCTGCTTAAACATATGGTCCAGCCCCCTCCTGTATGGGATCAGTCTGAAGAAATTACAGCCTAAGCCCCATCTCAAATGGCTTTAGGAGGGAGCAGTTGGGTCTTTTCCTTCCCCACAACTGTGTCTGACACAACATTCCATGTAAAGAGGAAATTTGTAATTTTATAAATGTATTTTTATACTGCTTTTTTAATGTGTCCACATGAGATAGACAAACATACTCCTCCTTGCACTGTATCAAGCCTTTCCCTGTGTGCTGACAACAGCTAAGATCACAATTATGCTGTTTCTCTTACAAGTGTAGCCTCGCTGTAAGGTAACAATATTTGGTTTTACTTCTACCACAGCTGTAGCTCCAAGTGGGAGCAATGTCACACAGTCAAGCAGATGTGTTTCCTTCTAGCTGTACTAATAAAAATTTACAATCATTTTCCAAGTAACTTCTCTGTTGAAAATGTGTTTTAATCTTTAGACAGAGAGACTCAACGACAATATGGAGGTGTGAAGCTCTAACTTCAGCAATAATGCCTAAAAATAGCCTTAAAAAGGCATACCCTTATCTAGCTTTTTTAAGCAGCCCTGACAGCCCTGTTAGCACTACACCGCTTGTGGAGGTTCTGGCACTACCACCACTGTACAACTTTTAGTTTCTTCAGCATGTATGCTTCCAATACAGAACACTACCAAGAATACGCTGCCAACAGATTGAAAAATCTGAAAAACTAAAGCTGCAATCAAATTTCTCTGAACACATTTTGTTCTATGGCTTTCTTCAGAAATACAATTAGTTTGAAATAACCACCTCCTTTTAACTGATACGCAGCATTTTGACAACATGTACACATGCTGAAATCAAAATAATAAGCATGCAGAAACTTAAAATAGTTAAAATTTGCGTTTTCACTGCAGTCAACAGTAAGGTATCCAGGGCAAGAATAACATAACCAGAACAAAACAGGAACAAATAAGACAAAAACCATACTGAAATTCAGCTATGAGAAAGTTCTTAACACAGTCACCTTCAAAACTTGTCCATTAGCCTCCGCAGAGAGCAAGGGCTGGTCTGACCAGCAGCAGAGCCAGGGCTGGCAGGAGTGGTGGGTGCTCTGCGTTAGCTGGTCCTCAGCCTTGTGCTGCAGCCAGCAGGGCTGAGGAAAAAACACTGCTTGGGTTAAATATTCAGCCCAAACTGTGCCCTAGGTACAGACCAAAGCTCACTGTGCTGCGAAAACACTCGCTCAATAAAGGCTGTGGCTGAGTGCCACCTGCAAATGTTTAGCACAGGTGCGGCTGCTGTGAAAAAAATAATTTTTAAAAAGCGTATTTTGCTCTGTAAATCGAATACTGCACATCAAAAAGTGACTTAAAGCCGCTCTAGGTGTAGCTACAAAGTTTGGGGGAGTTGAAGGGGCTTGTTTTGGTTTGTTTTAAACTGACAATCAGAAGTGTAAATGCTGTGATTTCCTTCATGACATCTGGAAGGCACCTGTGAGATGATCTTAAAAAGCTTGTTTTCAAAATGGAAAAGTCCGGTCACGCTGTGCCTAAGTGCAGGAGTGCAGAAGCAAGCAGGGGATCGTGATGTCTCCAGTGCAAAAAAAAAATTAAAGGAAACATTCAACTCTTGAGAAGCAAGGGGAGAGCAATTCACTTGCACCTTTCATTTGGCACCACTTTATATACAGCCAATTAACATTTTGAAGCTTTTATTGAAGACTCACCACCCTCATCTCCCCTTCAGTAAAAAATAGCAAGTGATCACAGCAGACAGCCCTTAGATATTTCTGCTGTTTGTCCACAAAAAAAAAAAAGAGTAGGAAAAAAAAAAGGAAAAAAATAGGGGGAAAAAAAAAAAATTGGGTTTTACACAACGGATAATTTTATCACTTAAACTGCTTGTCAAAGTCCTCTAAAAGAACACAACCTATACTGGACAATTTTAAGCAACACGCGCCATCAGTGAAACAACACACCAAGGAAAAAAAAAACCTCTGTGTGTGTGATTTTGTATCACTTAAAGTGGACCCACAGGGCCTTGCACTTTTGAGACCCAGATGAAATCATCCCTCATCCAGTTTAAGAATCCATCCTGAAAGCCTCACCGCCCTAAGCCACGAGTAGTGGGCTGACTAGGCTTGTAAAAAGCTGCATAATAGCAATTTAAGTGTCCCAGAGGCATCACACAGCTGGCCCCAGGTCTAACGGGTGACTGCCATTCATGTTTCTTTGTGTACTTATTTTGATGCCACGGCTTACAGTCACAGAGGATTTTAGAAGATCTCGCTCTGAACGCTTACAGCTTTTGTATGATACACATGCGAACTCCTGAGACTAAATGATCAGCTACCTGCCAAATCCGCTGGTGGGTTCTGCTCCTGCAGCAGAGGCAACAAGAGGGCAAGTCACAGGCCAGTGTTGTCCCCTAAACTCCTTTTTACAGTGACAGGAAGGGGAGAAAGCTGAGCCCTGCACTCCCTCAGGTTACTGCAAGTCCCAGAGCTCCTCCATGAGAGCTCAACGTACCTCAGTCATAGAGTCACAGACTTGTAGAACCATAGAACAGAATAATCTGTTCTCTGTGGCCACAAGTGAAGACTGGCCATAGATTTAAGGTGCAGAAGAAACATTCAGGTGAGACAATAGAAACCAAAACAATATTCGACTTTGAGGGCAGGAAAGCACTGGCCTGGCCTGCTTCTCTGGAGCTCTTTACAACAGGAGAACATCTGCTAGGAATGATAAGGGTAAAGCCGAGCCTACCTTGGGGCTGTGGAGCAGAGCAGATGATTTCATTGAGTCCCAGCAAGTCTGCTCCTGTACGATTCTGCCCTTGTACCAGCTAATCTCCCTGCACAACCTGCTGGCCATTTTGCATCTTTTTCTTGGACACCTCGCAGTTCCCGTGGCTTGTAGAGAAAGCTGAGATGTTTCACTCAGGACACCTGGAGTCCGCTCCTGGCAAGGTGCCCCCCGCAGCAAGAAGGATGCTACAGACAAACATCTGAAAATTGTAACTGCAAACCAACATGCTTGACATGATCTCTTAGAATTTGAATGTCTGCCATCACTTCAAATGTCCCCACAACTATGTTAGAACTTACCAAAAATATTTTGTCACATGTTGAACCAAATTAAAAAAAAAAAAATATTTGCAGAAATTGCTGTCATCGCTGGCTCCTTCCACTGTTTTTCTTCTACAGGCTAAACAAAAAGGGTATTTTTCTCCTCACTAACACTAGGGAAGGAGTCAGCCCTAATGACATTCTACCTTTCAAAAACAGAACCCTTTTAAACTTTCAATAACATGTGGTGACTTGCATTTGAATGAACTTAGCATGCCCTCAGTATCTGCCCTGCATAGCAGCAGCTGTGTCAGACCTCACAGCATTTGTTTAAATTCTTTCAGAGATCTTAAAAGATGTGGAATATGTAATGTTGATCATTGACATGGAAAGCTCATAGTTCAACTAAAAAGCAGAGTCCTTGCCCCAAACATGGTGCCTAAAAATAAACATACAAATCTTGGCAATTCGAAAGCAGAGTTTTAGAAAGAAACAGAACCAAAAAATGGGCTCAATACTAATAATTCATTAGCAGCTACAGTTTGAGGGAACTGTTTATTTCAACAGGTGCTAGTGGATACAAACAATTTCCTAAGTTCCTCCATAAATTGGCCATATAACTTTTCGGGGAGGGAAGTAAAAAGGAGGCAGTATTTTAGACAGTCTGGAATCAAGAAGTAGCCACATACACTTCAGCCAGCTTTTGTAGAGTGTGCAGAACAGTGGGAAACTGGCAGAGGCAGGACATCTTCAAGACAGATGAGCAACAGAGCTCAAATTTGGAACGTGCAATGGGTTATACCTTCTTTTGAGCAGCCTTTAGAGATACTTAAGCTGTTTACTGTAAAAGTCTGGAGAAATGTAAAAACACCCGAGAGTGAAGAGGAGTAATGTCATCAGCTAGAAGCTGCTATTTATAAGAGAAGACCTGAAGACAGACGAGCTACCCACAGCCACTGGCAGACAATTTTACAGTGCAGGCATGAGGTAGAGTTTAGAGAAAAGTCAGGCAGCCAACACCTAAGTTGGGTGAGGAGGAAAAGAAGTCCCATGAGGCAAATGACATGAAACGGCACATGGATACAAAAAGGAGGGATGTAGGAGGAGTATGAACTATCATGGAGAACAAAAGGCTGCAGCAGGATTTGCTCTTTTTGTGGAAGAGGAAGGTGAGGGAGACACGTGACTCATCTGGTCTGCTCTTCTGATGGTTAACATTGTGTTTGGCCAGCACTGAAGTGGCCCATGCAATAGCCTGGTGAACAAACTGGACCACAATGGTTAAAACAATTACTGTATACACATACTGGAGGAGTCTTGCAACAAGCCAACCAGTAACACTACATCCCAGCCCTTCTGCTTACTTCGTACTTCAGCAAGTGGTGAATCCTAGGGAACGCTAGGATTTTACGATAGCAGTGCAAGGCAGCAGGTTGGCTTACCTGAACTGGATCCTGCAAATCCATATTCGTGCAATGTCCTGTCCATAACATCACGAGGTATCATGCAATGTTGCATACAAGAAATAAGCAGTATGCAAAGTATACTGTGTGAAAAAAATGTAAAAAACAACCCAGCCATTTAGATTTGAACATCTCAATAAATTATCGAAAAGCTTTATAAACAAAAAAGCTTTTAAGGAAATGTGTGCATCGTCTAACTTGGCTGAAGAAAACAAAACCACAAGGTCTCATAAATCAGCAGTTATTACTCCTGGGTTTTAAACAGTTAGCATTCCAACTCTGTAAAATACATGAAAGCATCTTCTTCACACAAAACAGAATTCAAACCTGCTTTGTGTGTGAGAGAAACAGCACTGCTGCCTTCTTCAGAAGCACACACAGATACTTTGGCACATGAGTTACTACTGCCAAATGTGTCTGAATTAGTTTCCTTTGATGAATTCCGAAATATGGTCTTTTCAGAGTTCAAGCCATTTGTATTCTCAGACTCATCCTGAATGTCTGGTAAGAAGGAGGTGTCCTCTACTAACCCATCCCTTGAACAGGCCTGAAAAGGTGTTTTAGATGTTGGCAAAACACTGGCAATGCCTTCATCCTCTCATACAGCACCTGTGGCTGAGCTGGAAGACCCAGAAGTAGCCTGGAACTCCACTCTACCGTTTACAATGCAGTCATCTTTCCATCTCTTAATTGCTTCCCTCTGCTCTTCGGGGGTCAGTCTGTCAAGGTGCTTGGCTCTCAACACCGGAGAAGGAAACAATGTTCCTTGGAGAACTCTCAGCAAATATCTACAAAATAAACACAGTTTTAAATAAGCTGTGTAGAAGCAGACTCAAAACTGTTTCCAGCAACACTAAAGGAAACCAAACACCATTCAAGTAACCCTGAGGCTGCAGCAGCCTCTGAAACAGTTTTTGCAGGTGCCGTTTTGTGAACATAAACTGTGAGGCCAGCAATTGCACCAGAACATGTTTTAAAACTGGCATTTTCAAAGACAGATACTGATCTCAGGTGCTTCCATTTTTCTGTCCAGAACACAGTTCTCCTACAGACTAGTTACTGCAGCAATGTGCACTTGCAACTTCAACGAAGGGCCAGGGTCCCAACTATGCTGAAAGTGGAGCTTTCTGCGTATAGTGTCAGACCCCAGAAAAAAGGCATCAAAATCAGTGTGCAGTTTAGAGTTTCCCTGGCACTTCAGTGTGCGTATAAGGAGTTAAGAGCTATTGTGGAAAAACTCAGGCCTAGAAAAATTCATGCTTCCAACTGAGAAGCTGTTTATCACTGCTGTTTTGCACTGATCATATAGCACTAATATAGCCCTAGAAAGCTGAGAAGAGTAGGCAGAGCATCATTCTAAAATTCTTAACTTTTGCACCAGAAGCAAGAATGAACATGAAAGCAAAGGCCAAAGAAACAAAACATCACATGCAGTAAGAGGAATATGGAGTACAAGTAATGTTCCAAGTAATTAAACTCTAGGCATAATTCATATTAGAACTGACTTAACTGGCAACTTAGGTTGGGCAAAGGTTTTAATCACAGATTTTTGCAGTGAATTTTCAGTCAACAGGGCATCCAACATCTGTCCCTCTGTAGACAACTGCTCCTTAAAAACTCCAGCGAAAGCTCAGGCTAGAAGGTGCAGAGCACCCTTTAGCTTCACAATCCCCGCTGAGTGGAGGCTTTTCAGCACCTCACAAAGGACTACATCAGAAATAAGCACAGAAAAAACCATACGTGTGACAGCAATGCTTCCATAATAGGCACTTCTATTTCAAATCACTGAAGTAGAAAAGCTTGAATTAGCCACAACAGCTATAAATCTTCTGAGGTATTGGCACAGGGAGAGTGCAAATGACTCAAAGAATTTCACTGGTAAGTCTAAATACTTTGCATTTAATTCACCATGAAAAACACTGCCTTCTTCAAAATTGAACACCTGTACATTGGAAGCAGTCACCAAGCTGAAAGCTTTCTCCTACCTAGGCTCTCTACAGCCCTACCAAAAGGTCCTAGAACAGCATTTATCTATTTATTTGTCGTGTAAGGGAGATTTACTGTGTGTGAAAGAAAAGGCTCTGCTGTCACCACCTGAAGCCAAGCTGAGAGCAGGGATGGGGAGGGAAGAGCATACATGTTTCTTGCACTTCACGGTTTGTCCTTCTGCTGGCTTGGTGGTACTTGGTGGCTATTGCAGGCACCTACAGCCATAGCTCTGCCAGCTTTCCTGCCGGCGGCATTGACAACTCATGCAGCCTGTACTGCAGCACTTGATCCAGAGAGTGTGCTCAGGCTGTGCCTAATGATATAAAATGATGTCAGCTGAGGAGGAAACAGCAGTTATTCTCCCCAACACTTCTCTCAGTATCTGACTGTGCAATTCAGTTTCAAGTCTGAAACTCTTTCTGAAATTATATAAGAGGGAAAGAAAGAGACATAACACAGAAGAATGAACAAATTAGCACTGGAGGCACTTTGCTAATAGGCTGCACACTCGAGTTCATGTTCAGCCAGTGAAAGGAAGATGGCTGTGGCTACTAAACAGAGCTAGACCCAGAGCTTGACCAAGTCTCTTTCACTGGTTTTCACACACTTCGTTTTTCTCTGTTGGCTCGCTCAGGTGTCTCCCTGCTCGGCATGCTGGTGTCTGGGACCTCCACCCAACGATCCTGCCTTTCCAGGGCAAATGAGTTATCGAACTTGGAGTTATGACTTCTTCAGTGAGGCAAAACACTTAAACATTAGGCATGATAAAAACACAACTCAGGACCCCTTGTGAATCTAGTCAGCGTGTTTCCACCCCACAAAGAAGCCTGTACATGCATTCTTCATTCCAAATATTCTTACATATATTCATGACATAAATTTCAAACAGAAAATGGTTTCACAAATAAACATGAAGCACAATACTTCTATGTCTACTACATGTTCAGCTTTGATCACTAATTTCACTGACTTGTATATAAATTATAAACTCTGTGGTTACAGAGATTACTTTTTTCCCCTCCAAAGACAATATTTAATATAATATAAGTAATTTAATATAATATAAATCACAACAGAAATTTTCTATTTACTGAAATTTACTTTGAGAACATGTCACTAAAGAGCTGTCCTCACATGGCTTGGTGTGGTAGAGTTATGAAATTTTCTTTACATTGGGGGCAAGGTGGGGAGGAAGACCTCTAGCCAGAGAGATTTATAGCATCACTGACTCAAAGAAAACTAATTTTGTTAACAACAGCAATCTGCAATTATAAAACAGAAACGCACCTGGGTAGCAGAGCAACACAAGTAGTCAGGAGGCAAACTAAGTAAAATACTGGGTCTGTCATGTGCTTTTCCATGATCCAGTAAGGATTTGATGGTGGTCTGTGGGTTTTGCAGGTTGCCCCAAAAGCCAGAGCGAAGACAAAGTAAAACAGGATGCTGCCAACTACAACTACTGTATGTATCCAAGTCTGCAATTCAGAAAAGGAAAGAAATCAGTGTACACGTACATGCATGAATATGCACACACTCTTCCTGCAAGGACACCTGCTTAACGTAACAGAGGATAGATCTGCTCAGATAATACTCCTGATTTTATACAAAACATTCCAGGAAGAATGGAGCCTTCTTCCTACAGTTCATAGGTAACCCAGCCATTTAATTTTTTTTATTCTACTAAATGCACAGCTTTTGATACCTTTGTGAAAGATATTTTTTGTGCCATTTGCCTTAGATGACCACCTCATCCACTGGCAGCAGAGAAAGCCTTCCCAAGCAAATGGAGGCGAGATCTTCACATGACATCACCCTTATATATCTTGCTTGCGACATTAATTAACTGTTCTGCATTGGAGTTTTCTGTAATTTTACACCTGAACGGCTATAATAGTTACTATGGAAACAACAATGTCATTGGTCTGACAGCTTGCCGACATCCAAAAATGCCAAATAAAACCCATTCAAGTGATGTTTTCCTATTCAGAGCGTGGATACACTCATGCTACCCATATATTCTCAATAAAGACATTTTTATTACTGCTGCCACACTCCCAAAAGAACAATGAAAAGACTGAATCACAACTTGAAATTTCATCCATTATGAAACAATTCTAAAAAATATTTTTCAAAAATAAGAGAAAAAATAAAACCCATTAATCTGTGTCCTTCTACTGTAAATGATTGTGTTTTCTTTAAAATTATGCAAAATAGCCAAGTATTACCCTTGTAAGAGCTGTACATTTATCCAAGCTAATGCAGATGCTTTAGCTTGCGCAGACTTAATTAAAAACTGGAATAGCATTTCTGTAGCATATTGGTTCTCTAGTTCTTGCACCAAAATATACCCCTGAATTGTCTATCATGGCCACAGAGCAGCTCATCAGTTCCAAGCGTTTAAAATCAACAGCTCACATCGTTGTCTTGAGATGCAAGCTTTGGGAACTAATGAAGGCTCAGTAGATCACTGGTTGGTTTTACCATTTGCAAAACTAAACTGACATCCCCCAAATCACTGTAGAAGGCAGGATCCTTTCACTATTCACAAATAATTCTGAGGCCAAATTTTGTTCATTTTAGTCATACGAGTAATTCTATTGGCTCCAATGACAGGTACATTAGGAGAGCTCACATGGTCACATAAACAAAATATTTAGGTCTTGGCCCTTTTATACTTACTCTGTTTTGTATATGAAGCTCTTTCTTCTATTTAATTTTAATGAAAGCTCTATGCATATACTCTGTTAGGAATATACTCTTTTGGAAACAAAGTACTCACCACAGACTTGCACTCAATGAGAAGGTGAAACAGTATTATGAAGAGCGCTGCTGTGTTTATAGGGTTTCCAAAAGAAAAAATGTCTATGTCTGTGCCATAGTAAGTCTGGAAAGGAAGACAGCAATCAGCATAATATACTCTTTATGTATAGTCCTAATACACAAAGTGGCATGAATAGTTTCAATACCATACATATTTGCATGCACACAGTTCAGCTTACTTCCAGTGATGATTCTGTTAGTACACATTTATATATGAGGAAGTAAAATCAAACACTTCATTTTATTCTCTAATTTGCCTGGCCTTTTAGTAAAAACGTATAAATGTCCAGCACTTACAAAGTAAGGCACAAAAAAGCAAACAAGACTTTGGTAAAACGCATCCAGCAAGGTTATCCAGAAAGTTGAAGGCAAGTAAGCCTGTAAGAAAAAACAGATAACGGCATTGAAACAAATTGAACAAATTGCTGCATCCTTAACTAGATTAATTTGGATTTGGGGAAAGATTATCTGCAGAAGTAATTGTAGTTAGTTTCCCAGTGAAGAGGCATCTTTAGTGTTATAACAATAAAGAGCTCACTCCACACATGTAGTTAACTGTTAGTATTTAAATCAGCAGCCAGATCTGGGAACTCTGATCTTACAGCTGTTTCTGCCAGAGCCTTACCTAACGGAGTACTAAGGAAGGGGGGGGGTGGGGGACAGTGAATTACCCTAGCAGTTTACCATCACTGAATGCCAAGACCCACTTTTGCTGGAATAACACATTGCTGTTTTAGTGAGTTGAATCAGCTCCTGGAAGAATCTGATGGGACAACTGAGCTGGCACAAGGAAGGTAGTGGGTGAAAACAGGGAACGGGAAGAAAAGAAGGGAGAAGAGGAGAAGGAACGAGCCTTCCTCACTCAGTGGCAGCAAACTGCTATGACAGCTCAACCGCTTATGAAACCATAGCTGCATGTACCCTGGCTCAGATATATGCCATTCCTTCAGGCACTAAATTGAGACACAGAGGTGAGCAGTCTAGCCACCCAGGACTTCCTCTACAATAGGAGAGAGAGGGGTTTCTCCAAAAAGCCATTCAGCCCTTTCAAGAACTGAACTGCTCTCTGGAGGTGGTGTGGGAAACTTGTCTTCTTACTTGCCTGTCAGGGAAGTGCTTTAAATTACTGAAGATGAATCCAAGTTACTGTCCGTTCTTATAGCTTGTACAGAGCTGTGCACTTGTGATGTCATATGCAATATTGTGATACTACATCTATTAAAGCATTTCTCTTTCTTCTATACTGCACTTAATTCAAAGCAATTATTTCATTGCCCTTCCATGCAAGAAAGGAAATGATATACTACTTAACAATTCCAACCACAGAGCAAGGCAATGCTGTGCTGAACAAAAGAGAAAAACTTTGTTAAAAGTTAAGA